AGATTATAATTTTTTTTTTTTGAAAACCAGAAGCAAGATATAATTTAGACATATTATTTTAACAAATAATTCTAATCTATTTACATCTAGAAACATTGTTCACTGACGAGCAGCAACTTAAATGAGCAGAAAAAAGGAAGCAAAAAACTGGAGCAGAAAATAATTGCTGATTTAGGTAAAAACCGAGACATAAAAAATGATTCTACACATAAACTGGATCTGATTTTTGGTCCTAACAACAAAAAATTCTAAAAATTATCATTTACCTCATATTTCTGTGTCGATATATCAATTTTCTTATAATCTTCGTCATTTTTCTTGTATCTTCCTTCTCTTTCTTGTCCTCATCCCGCTCCTTCTTATCCTCTTCCTTCTCTTTCTTTTTCTCATCCCGCTCCTGCTTATCCTCTTCCTTCTCTTTCTTGTCCTCATCCTTCTTGTCCTCTTCCCTCTCTTTCTTGTCCTCATCCCCTTTGTCACTTTCCTCGTTCTTCTTCGCCTCCTTCGACAGATGCTTCAAAGCCGATATGATGTCCTCCAAATGCTCCAGGACTACCTTCGGATCTTTGTTCTTGACCGCAACCGGATTGTAGACTTTAGTCGTCGGCGATATAGTGACGACACTTTCGGTCGTCGTCCCACTTTTGGTTTCCAAAATATTAATAATCTGATCCATGACGTCCGAAGGACTCACGGCTTTACCGAAATGGGGCTTTTCTTTCATCGAACCATATTTGGTGTCACCTCCAACTAAATAAAGGATCGAAATTATTAAATTGTCGTGATAACGCTCTGTCTTATGCTTGTTACTTGGTAGTGACAAGTATGAAAAGGTTTATGTATTTGCTATTTTGATCGTTATATACTAGATGAATGCTATAGCATCCACGTCAAGTTAGTGACTATGAAAAAAAAAATCAGTTTTAACTGAATAGTAATCTTCCACGTTAACACGTTCGCGCCCAATAAAAGTTTGAGTAGTCGTATTATCGTATTTTGATCGTTATATACTGGATGAATGCTATAGCATCCACGTCAAGTTAGTGACTATGAAAAAAATTCAGTTTTAACTGAAGAGTGATCTTCCACGTTAACACGTTCGCGCCCAATAAAAGTTTGAGTAGTCGTATTATCGTATTTTGATCGTTATATACTAGATGAATGCTACAGCATTCACGTCAAATTATTGACTATGGAAAATGATTCAGTTCAACTGAAAAATAATCTATTGCACGGTAGCACGTTCGCGCCCAATAAAAGTTTGAGTAGTCGTATTATCGTATTTTGATCGTTATATACTAGATGAATGCTATAGCATCCACGTCAAACTATTGATTATGAAAAAAGATTGAGTTTCAACTTAAAAGTGATCTTACATTTTGGAAAAAGGAACTAGCTGTAAGTGGAATTCTGTCTTCAGGCAATTATGGCATCGTGCCATAAGGCATGTTGCTGGAACTTCCCGTACCGCAATTCAAAATTCTATTAATTAAAAATAATCAATAATAATCAATCAAAGTTGATCATTGATTTGAAACTTTTAATAGAATTTCGAACCATATTATATCATTCTATCTTAAATCACTTATTTTGAAATATTTTGTGAATTCTGAACTTTTTTTCAAAATAATCGTACTGCTTTAACTGCATAAAGAAGAATTATCGAAGCGCCTAAGCGCCGCGTCGCCGTCTAACGCGTAAACATTGGTACGGAACCCATAGGAATGTTAACTAAGTTGAAATCTCTATAAAATATCTGATAATTTGATGTGCATATGTCTAATGTTCATTTTTGACCGCCAAATGGCTCATTTTTTTACTTTTTCCTCCATATCTCCAAAGTCGTTGGACCTGCCTTTCAAAAATTGATTAGTTCTTCATTTAGTCAATACAAATAAAATGTTTTTGAATTAAAATTAAAAATTGAGTTACCGTTTTCGGCACTTTTTGCCCCGTATCTTTGGAACGGCTAGACCTGACTTCGCCAAAACTAATCAGCACGTCTCCTTATCAATACGAATCGAATGCTTTTTGAGTTATTCAAATCGGTTGATCCGTGTGTCCGAAATCATCGACGAAAATTTGTATTCGCACATACATACATACACGCACGCACACACACACACACACACGCACACACATACATCCATTATTTCTAAGGTATATCAAAATGTTCAGAAGGTTTTGAAACGTAAAGATATATAAAAAATTTCATTTTCGATTTTTTTGCGATTACTATAACTTGCCCTATGGGAAGTTAAAAACATTCGATTCCTATTAATAGGCAGATGTGCTGATGAGTTTTTGGCAAAGATAGGCCCAGCGGTTTCGGAGATACAGAGCTAAATGTGCAAAAAAAAGCAGTTTTTGAGAGAATTCCGATTTAATTGATTCAAAGAACTTTGTGCTTGTTTCAACAAAATAATTGATTTTGAAAAAAAAATTTTGTTTCTAATTTTTTTTTCGAAAAATATTTTTGTAATTTTGGATTAAAAATTCAAAAAATTACCCAGGCTAAGCACAGTCTAAGCGCCACTCTGGTACAAATGTTTACCCAAGTGCATTTAGACTGTTTGTGTATTGGGGCACTTTTTTAATTTTGTCAAAACTATAGAAACATGTGAAAATGCCGCCAGGCTAAGCACAGTTTAAGTGAAAATGTCCCACAGAATTATTTGCAAATGCGTTTAGACTGTGACTATACGGGAGCACTTTTTCAATTTTGTGTAAATTAGGCAACTATTTTTTTGAAATTGACTTCGAAATGAAAGGACGATTGTTAATGTTCTCAGATATAAGAAGATAGCAAAAATAATGAAAGTTACAGTATTTGCAATAATATATTTGAAAACGTTTAAAATTTCTCGATTATTTCATTACGGTACGGTAAGTTTCAGCAATTTGCCTTAAGGCACGATGCCATACACCACTAGTTTACCTTATTTCTATTATGTTTCTATTTACCGATAACTCCGGGTATGACTATGTTTTCCGGTACTTCGACACTTGTTTGTCTCAATTTTGATTTTGAAGTTTTCCGGGGATCCGGATGAGTGTTGCCATATGGCAACAAGAGTAGAATGAGTGCATAGGTTATTACAAAAGTCGACATGGATAATATTAATAAAATAAAATTGAAACGTTGAGAAAATTCGTAGAAAATGTGTCAAAGGTTTTTTTTTGGGACAAATGAAAAACGAATTATGACATTGACATTTTTGGGAAAAATTTTTGTTATTTTCCCGAGGGAGACGTTTATGTTGTCAGAGCAAAATGCAATTTGCTAATTTTACGATATCTCGGCGTTTCAAGCCATGGGGCCGTATTTATCAAAAGTGTGTACGGGTGTGTATTCAAGCCGAAATTTTACCTTTCGTCGACGATTTCTCGAAAACGGCTGGACCGATTTCAAAAATTTAGAAGCCATTCGATGTATCTCGATAAGGACTATCGTTTGTCAATTACCAATTACCAAAAACATGTAAAAATTTTGAACCACGTTTTACCCCCGAATCCTGAACCGATTTCGATGATTCAAAAACTTGAATCATTGAACTTGGAATGACATTAGTTGTTGATTATTTTTTGAAAAAATATTTAGACATTTTTAATGAATTTTTGCACAGTGATAAGGTAAACCATTGGTTCTCAATCTTTTTGTGTCTGCTAAAATTTACAATTTTTTTATGAGAATGTACAATATTTTTTTACTCTTTGTTACTATTTATAAATATTGTATTGACTTTTTCTCAAAGATTTGTATAAGTATTATATAAATAAATAAAAAAATAAAATATAATAACATTTTATGCTGAGTACGATAGTAATTTTTTTTCTATTGTGGACCCCTTAAAAGTCCAATAGGGCGAATCACTAAGATTTATTTATATCATCCTAAAAATTAAAGTCTTACAAAAAGTCGTTTTGTATTAATAAAAAATCATTGCATTTTGAATAGTCTGCTTTTGAACATTTTTTGAAAAAAAAAACATTTTTTTTGAAAATTTAGTTTTTTTTAATTTTTCTGGATCTTTTTTTTACGATTTTCACAACTTTAAAAGTCTAAAAAATCTAGTTTTTCAAAATTTTCAAAAAAATTTCAGATTTTAAAAATTTTGAATTGCGATTCTGAATATTTTGTATCACGTGACTTGAGAAAAAATTGACTTTTTTGAAAATTGTGATTTATTTTATTTTGTCTGAATATAAACAAATTGCTGGAACTACCAGCACCGCTATTAAAATTTTTAAAAGAAAAAAAAAAAATTTAAAACCTTGAGACATTAGATTTTTGAGACTTTTGAAAATGTAAAAAATGGACTTTTTTGAAAATTTTAAATTTTTTAATTCTAGTCTAAAAATCAACATTTACTGGAATTTCTTGCACCGCAATTCAAAATTTTGAAAAGCTATTTTTTTTTTTTGAAAATCTTGAAAAATTAGATTTTTGAGAATTTTTGAACTTGTGAATAAATGGACTTTTTGAAAATCTTGATTTATTTAATTTTGTCTGAAAATCAACAAAATTGCTGGAACTTCTAAAAAAAATAGATTCTGGAGAGAAAAAAAAATAAAAAAAACATGATAACCTTGGGAAAAATAGAATTTGGAGACTTCAAAAGTGAAAAAGTTGACTTTCAAAAATTCCGATTTTTTTTTTAATTCTAAAAATTTCGTAACAGTTGTTCAATAAAGACATCTCTTATCCATCCCCACAAAATTATCCAAATGCGTGTTTCAAAACAATCATCATCTCCTAAAATATGTTTCTGGTAAAAATGTTCCCCATTATACCCCACTTGTGGGAACGTTGGCAACAAATCCTCCCTCGCAATATTGGGGATGATGCTTTTCCTTGTTTTGGGGCGGAAACAAACAGTAACAGTAGTATCACAAAAGTCTCTCTAGTGAAAACAACTCCAAAAATAATTCATAAAATTATAAAATTAATATGATAAATTAAATTAATAGAATTATTATAATAATAAATGTGAAAAATAAACGAAAAATGTGAAAAAAGTGGACAGATAGCTTGTTAAAAATTTAGCATTTTTATTGGTTTCATTGTTATGGAACTAAAAACTTGTGGTATATATTAAAAATAAATTAAAGTTAAATAAATTAAATTAAATTAAATAAATTTAATAAATTTTTATAATAATTTAAACATATTGTGAGCAACAAATTCAATTTTTTATAGTAAAATTAATAAATTATATGCAGAGAATTTCAAATCATCTAAATAATCTAAATTAAATCATTTAAATTAAATAAATAATAATTTTAATAAAATTTGTTTACAGATTATAATAGATTTTATTTATTGCATATTTCGAATTTAATTTATAAATAATAATAATAATAATTTTTTCCATAAAATTATAAAAATTAAAATAAGTAAATATTTAAATTAATTAAATAATAAATTTATTCATTTATTTATTTATTTATTATAATAATTTTATTCATTCATAAGACATTACGAATAAAATAATTATCTTCTTTAAAAATATAAGTAATAATAAATATATTAATGATTAATATTTAAATATAATAAATGTGGTTTATTTTAGACTACGCTAAGTAAAATATATTAATAAATTTTATAATCTGAACTTGTTATTATTATATAAAAATATATGTAACTATTAATGAAAAATTACATGAATATTTTTACATACATTTCATAAAAAGTTATGTAAAAGCAACAATCAAATTAATAATAATACAAAGGAAAAAAAATTAAAATAAATACAATTGTCAGTTAATGAAAAATATTTAAATGTTAATAATTTATTATAATATACAGCATTTATAAAAAAATTCATTTATATTCATTCATTTATATATAAATTCAAAATAAATCATATTTTAGAATGAGTGAAAATATTTCTTTGTGAAAAAATTAATTAACTATATATTATGCATTTTCAAAACTATTTTTATAATATTGTGATAATAATATCGTAATAATATCTCTAGGAAAAGAATAATTTTGAATTTATAAAAGACTTGAAAACATTATAAAAACAAGTTAAGTGAAAATGCTAAAATATGCCAAATATCAAAAACTTTTTTGTAAAACATCGAACATTTTTGAGAGATATATAAATAAATATATGTAATCTCATTTTAAACTAAATAAAATAAATATATCGTGAATGAAATAAATTTATAAAGAAAAAATAAAATAAATATATTGTGATAAAAAGTTTTGGGGATAGAATTATTTGGAAACAAAGTTCTGTGAAAACAACAACGAAATAATAAAAAGTGAGGAATTTTTTTGCAAAACAAGAAAATCAATTGAAAACTATATAAAAACATTATTAAATTTTTAAAATTAAAAAAAAAAAACACTACGGTATAGATTATAACAAAATAATAAGAAACATATTTAAATGCATTATAAAAACAAGTTATTAGAAAAACAATTACTTAGACTGTCTAAGTTAGACATAAAGCTTATATAAGCAAAATATTAGAATTAATTAAATTAAAGTTAAAAAATTAGCAAACTATTAAAATTAATCAAACAAAAACAGTAAAAAAATTTTTTTTTCTTTTATATATGACTTAATAGATTATAAGTAAAAAATTATAAAGAAAGTTAAGTGAGAAATATCATTTGGAAACTAAACTATTTCGTTTTGGAAACCAAGAGACTTCATGAGAAACTTTCTGTAAAACATCAAAATTATTTGGAAAATCTTCGAATGCATTTGTTGAATAGTTAAATTTACTTATAGAGTATTTTATAACTAAAAATGGATAGTGATAACCACACCACATCCCTCTCAAAAAAACCAAAACCCCAATGTCCATCATCACCTCGAGATTTTTTCGCCAGACTTTATGGGCATTTGGAAAGCGAAAAAAAACTCAAGGACAACAAATCTGACGTCACCAATACCTCCAACATCAACTCACCAACGTCAACATCAATTTGTCCGAATTTTAAAATTTCCGAAGATACAACAATTTCTCCTTCCCCCAAAGAAGAATCGAGCAGAGGATTCTATTCAGGAATTTTATGGAGTGAAGATTTGGCCAAATTTTGTGCAGGCGATGTGGTAATAGATAATGAAGCTGGCCCTAGTAGAATTTTTGGTTCTTATAATGTCCCCAATTTTGCACCTGTTTTGGGGTTGAATTTGGAGGCGCATTTGGGGACCGGGTTTGGAGCCTATCGTAAGTTAATAGTGAAATTTTGCTCTTATTTACTTTTCCCGAAGGTGAAGTTTATGTTTTCATCAAAAACTCCGATTCGCTAATTTTATGTTTTATCCTGAACGTTTCAAGCTATTCTGAATCGATTGAGACCAAATTTGGAAAAAGTATTCATGTGTGTATGTGTGCGCGCGAACCGATTTTTTGCCGTAAATCGACGTTTTCTCAAAAACTGCTGGACTGATTTCAAAAATTTAAAAGCCATTTGATGTATCTCGTTGAGGACTAGCAGTTTGTGCGATGGTCAGCCAAGCCGTTTCTTTGCAATCAACAAAAAAGTGAAAATTTTTTGTCCACGTTTTAGCCCGCAATTCTGATTCTAAAAATTTAAAAACCGTTCGAAAGATATTGGTTGGTAATCGTGCTGATTAGTTTTTGGTAGAGATCGGCCGGGCCGTTTTCTTGTAATATAGTATTACAAAAAAATTTCGATGATTTATATTATTATTTTTTTGACGGTAGATACCATAGTCTTCTAGATCATACTAAAATATTAGGACCCTACGACAAGCCATTTAATTTTAAAAATTCGTCAAAATTTGCAAAAATTAGTATCGTTTTTTTGGCATTTGTCAAAATTAGACTTTCATCGACGTTTGCTCAAAAACGCCTGAACCGATTTCAGAAATTTAAAAGCCAATCTATATATGTATTTTGATGTGGATTATTATTTCTCAGTTTTGTGCAACGATCGGCCAAGCCGTTTCTTTGTAAATAGCAAAAAAGTGTAAAACTTTTCGTCCACGCTCTAAATTTTAAATCGTTTTTAAACTAGTGGTGTATGGCATCGTGTCTTAAGGCAAATTGCTGGAACTTAATGAAAAATTCGAGGAATATTAAATGTTTTCAAATATATTATTATAAATACTGTAACTTATATATGTTTACAGAAAAGTAAATAAACAAAACTTAATCAAGGGGAGTTAGAATTGAAGGACTTTGTTTAATATTTATAAGAATTATATAAACTGAAGTGCAAAGTTTAAAATTATTAATTTGAAGTATATTAGTGAGCTTTTAGAACTTTAGCTTAAAAAAAAAATATTTTAAATTATATTCGATATTTAAAATTTAATTTTTTTTTGGAAATAAAACAAAATAATTTTTTTTGGAAATAAAACAAAATAATTCTCTTTTACCCCAAAATACATTATTATAAATACTATAACTCACATAATTCGTATTTTATAGACAAAATATAAGACCTTCTGCATTTTGACAATGACGATGTTTATGTATGTTTATAAGAATGACAAGTATATAAACAAAACTTAATTCAGCGAATTTAGAATTAAAGGATCTTATCTCATTATATATCTAAGAATTATATAAACTGAATTGCAAATTTAAAATTATTTATTTATTTTGTTTTATTCGTATTTTATTTAAATAAAAATACGAATTCATTTCTATATTCGAGAAAAAAATATTTTTAGGACAGATATATTTTTTTTTTGTCCAAAAACAATTGTTTCATCAATACAAACAGAAAGTTCTTTGTATCATTCAAATCGGATGCTTAGTTCTCTCAAAAACTGACATTTTTTGCACATTTAGCTCTGTATCTCCGAAACGGCTGGACCTGTCTCTTCTTCTCCCATTCATTACAAATTGAATGTTTTTTTAATCACTCAAATCGGATACTCCGTACTCTCAAAAACTCAATTTGTATTTTCTGCACTCTTTGCTCCGTATCTCCGTAACGGCTAGACCTGCCTTTGCCAAAACCTAAACAACACATCTCCCTATCAATAAGAATCGAATGTTTTTTGAACCATTCAAATCGGTTGATCTATACTCTCAAAATCGTCTATGAAAAATTGTATCCATATACACACCCGTATATTTTTTTCGAGGAATGTCAAAATGTTCAGAAACCTCTGAAACGTGAAGACATGCAAAAAATTTCAATTTCGATTTTGAACCCATTACAATAACTACCTCACGGGAAGTTAATAAACCGTTGACTAATTTTATCTAAGAATCTAAATTTCAATTTCGATTGATTAAGTCAATTCTTACACTTTTCGGAAAGTTCATGCAACTTGCCTTAAGGCTAAATTCCACTTTCAACTAGTTTTCTTTTGTGTTTATTAATAAAGTCCTCAACGTGTATTCCTAGCATATGGCGAAACGTTTATTTCGCTTTAAAATATATAAATTGTATCACAATAGATATTTAATGCCATGAAAAACATATATATATATATATATATATATATATATATATATATATATAGGGGAGACTGGGGTAAGGCAAAAATAAATGCAATTTTCTAGTTACTTTTATTAGCACGAATTTGTTAGTAATAAACCTAGTTCCAATCGTGACACTTTAGTTATGATTTTTTTATACCAAGTGTTTAAAATTACCGCAGTCTCCCCTATAAAAGATTTGAAAAATAATACCTCTATAGTGAAAAGAAGAGATTTGTATAATATTTATCTTAATTTGTGGCGGCTTATATAAGCCGCCCGACAATAGGGATTTTATTCCGTATTGTTATTTGATGGGAGGCGGAAAATCGGGCGGTGTCTCCGAGAAGGATTAAAAATTGTTATATATATATATTAGGGGTGGTCCTTTATGTGTATTTTCCCGAATTTATTTGCTCCCAAGTGCTCAAATGCTTTCAAATTGATGAAAGAAAATTCTGTGAAAGTTTTAGCTCTTAATATTAACTTTAAGATAGTCCGCAAATCAATCAAAGTTTCTTAGAAAAAAAAGGAGGAATTCAGAGCACATGCCATCGGACACATTTTAATCATCTCATCTTCATGACTCATTTTAGAGTCATTTTTCTTTATGGACTTCCCGTAGAGTAAGTTATTGTAATCGTCTACAAATTGGAAATGAACATTTTTGCATGTCTTTACGTTTCAAAGGTTTCTGAACATTTTGGTATACCTTAGATAAAATTGTGTTAGTGCGGATACAATTTTTCGTGCACGGGTTTTGAGAGCACCGCTCAACCGATTTGAATAATTTAAAAAACATTCCCATTGACAAAGAGACGTGCAGATTAGGTTTTGTCAAAGGCAGGTCCAGCCGTTTAGGAGATACGGAGCAAAGAGTGCACAAAATAGAAATCGAGTTTTTGAGAGCATGGAGTATCGAATTTGAATGATTCAAAAAACGTTCAATTTGTAATGATGGGGAGAAGTGTGGGTTAGTTTTTGGCAACGGCAGGTCTAGTTGTTTTGTAGATACGGAGCTAAATGTGCAGTAAATGGCGGTTTTTGAGAAAACTAAGCATCCGATGCGAATGATTTAATTAACTTTTTGCTTGTATTGACGTAACGATTGTTAAGAGGAAAGCAAACTTTTTTTTTCTCTTCTATTATAAAAAAAAATTGTTTATCGGAAAATAATTGAGATTTTAATTTTAATTCTGGCTAATGATCCAAATATCATTTATATACTTGGAATAAATAATTTTAACTTCGCAATTTAGTTTATATGATTCTTAAAAATATGAGATAAGGTCCTTCATTCTAACTCCTAAGTTTTGTCTTTCATTCTCATCCTTTAGTTTTGTTTATTTAGTTTTGATGTAAACATATATAAACATTCCAGTCCAATTCATGAGCTCCTATAATTCGTCTATAAAATACGAATAATGAAAGTTACAGTATTTATAATAATTTATTTGAAAAAATTTTAAATTCTTCGAATATTTCATCACGGTACGGGAAGTTCCAGCAATTTGCCTTAAGGCACGATGCCATACACCACTAGTTATTATCGACGTTCTTACAAAATTTAGAATTTCTTGAAAATTAGTTGATCTAAGTCACATGATCTAAAATTGTAGACAAAAAATGTATCCGCACACACACATCAAATTTTTCTAAGGTATGTCAAAATATTCAGAAACCTTTGAAAGGTAAATTTGTGCAAAAAAATTTATTTTTAATTTTTTGCGAGTACTATAACTTACCCTACAAGAAATTAATAAATTATTAATCAATTTGGGCACAGTAAACCCTCTGTTGAGTGCGGATAAAACTAAAACAGGGTAAAGCACTTTTGTTCTGTGTTTACTCCCGAAGGACGATGATGTTAATATTATGTTTTCTTAAATTTTCTAAAAATCTTTTACATTTTTTCACATCCTCCGTTAATAAATGTCCCCGTTCGCACATTCCACAATCCTATACAATATATCAGTGTACTTCAATTGAGACTTGTTCAACTATGCTTTGGTAATCGCATCATAATAAACGTTCGCAGAAGCAGAAGCAGAATCGCGATGATGATGATGATGATGTACATAGCATCCGAGTGTATTAAAACACAATAACAATTCACACGACACAACAAAATACAATATGATGTAATAATATCACTCGTTCGTTCATTCACATTCGTTCACTCGTTCACTACTACCACCCACACCCAGTCGATGGAAAGACTCAGTAAAGTAGACGACTTACGAAGGGGTGAGGTGTAGTGGGTATACCCCCAAAGGTGTAAATGAATTTGAAGGTTATTGATGATGAAGTAAAGTGTAAAAAAATATTAAAGTAGGATGTTAGTTGTGATGATATAAATCTTTAACTTGGCGTGTCTTAAGGCAAATTGCTGGAACTTCCCGTATCGTAATGAAATATTCACAATTTTCAAATGTTTCAAATGTCATTATAAATACTTTATATTCACTCGTTCACTACTCCCACTCACACTCAGTCGACGGAAAGGCTTAGTAAAATTATCTCATATATCTAAGAATTATATAAACTGAATTGCAATGTTTGAATTATCTATTCCAAATATATTAGTGAGTTTTATAATTTTTGAAATTTTAAATTTTGTATATTTTTTTTATATTTTGAAACCGCTGGATCTACTGGATTATTATTAATATAAGTGTTAGAATTTGGGCATATTATAAACAAATCATAAGTTGGGTAATAATACTTATAAGAACTTATATTTTATGTCTTATGTCGAAATAGAATAAAAGCATACGATGAACTTATCTCATATTTTTAATAATTATATAAAATTATGCGTATAAAATTTGTAAACATTTTGAAAATGACGACCTTGTTTATATAAAACGTGTATATATATTATAAACAAAACTTGAACGAGCCGAGTTAGAATTAAAGCATTCAAGGACCTTATCTCATATTTTTAAGACTTGAATCATTATGAATGAATGATATAAAATACTGATCAATTATAAAGTAATCCGAAAAAGAAAATACAAAAATGCCTGAATTGCATAGACAAAATTATTTATTTCAAGTGAGTTTTCAAATTTTTGAGAATATTTTTTTGCATACTTTTGAAAGCTTTAATAAAATCCGAAACGTTTTCGGGATTTTTTTTAAAAAAAATTGTGATTTTTATGAAAATTTTGAAAATTTAAAAAAAGAAAAATATTTTATTTTTTTTTAAATTTTGTTAGATATTGTAAACTCAAAAAAAAACTTATCGCGCTAATGATACTTTAGAAGATTTTGAAAAAAGTCGTTTTTTTAATATTTAAATAAATATTATTTATTTCAGGTTATAAAATTTTTTTGTGTAAATTTTAATAAAATTTTTTTTTTTTGGAAATATGAATATGTATTTCGAAAAAAAAAATTAAGTTTTGAAAGTTTGTAATTTATTAAAAATTTGTAATTTGATATGTTTATTTGATATTTTGATTGAAATAAAAACAAATTAAAAAAAACTATTGTTTGAAATTTTGAATAAAACAAAAACAAGATTCTAAAATGTTTGAAATCGAAAAAAGTCTAAAATTTTGAAATTTAATAAAACTTTTTTTGAGAATTCTAAAATATTTGAAATAAATAGAATTTTATGAAATTTTTGAAAAAAAAAAATAGATTTTAGTGAAATTTTTGAAACCCCGATTTAAATATAATTTATGTAAAAAAGTGGATTTTTTTGAAATTTTCGAACCGATCTTTCTTTTTTAATTTGTTGAAGATTTAAAAAATTTTGAAATCGAAAGTTTCTAAGCTTTGAGATTTTTTCATTTGTAAGTCTTCCCAAAAAACTTTATTTCTTCATACCGTCAGTACTACCTAAATATTTTTTGAATCATTCAAATCGGTTGATCGAAATCATTAACGAAAAATTGTATCCGTTAATACATCAATTATTTAAGGTATGCCAAATTTTCATAAACCTTTGAAACATAAAGATAAACAAAAAAAATCATTTTGATTTTTTGACGATAGCTATAACTTACCCTACGAAAAGACCGGATTTTAGAAGACTCTTCAGATATTGGTCCAGGAGTTCTGAAAACAATCTTACCAAATGTACTAGAGATAGTATCAAATTTTGTGCAGTGTGTTTCAACTATCCACAAACAGATTCTGTTATAAATTTCTCAACTTTGTTACCCAAACCCACAACTTTAATACCCACTTCAATCATCATTTAAGTATCCACTAATATCCAAAGCAAAGATTTCGTGTAGAAAATAAATACCTCAAACTAAACCATTTAAGTCTGCATTTATGCACACGTATAATATTTTATTATTGGCCGGATAATCTCTCTGTGTATATTCAGTCATAGGACCTCCCCTTCAGAAATATATCACTTGATAACAATACGACGAATTCATAAACAACTGTTGGTGCTCCCATGGAAGAATAATAAACTAAGGAGGAGCAGAAGTGGGATGAATGTCTTTACATGATTATAAAGATATTGACATTTGTTAGGAATTGATTTCGGGGAAATAACTTTTTTATACACTTTAGACTTTATGCACATCCTAGTTTGAATTTCATGCCCAAATAAATAATAGAGAGATAATATATCATTAATAATAGCAGAGATAATGGTCATTGGAAGTGATGTGTCTGTATTTCTGCATACTTATATCTCCAACTCAACCACGCATTATACAGTTTTTCCTTAAATTCCACTTACATCTAGTAAAATTTAATCCAACAATTATCTTCCAATTTTCATCAAAATTAATGATATAATTATTATATAATGATATAATAATATTTAGTGATTGTTTTTCTAGTGGCCAGAAGAAGGCGCAAAGAAGGCCGACCCCGTCGTCAACGGACGACATTTAGCAGCGAACAGACCCTAAGGCTAGAAGTCGAATACCGAAGGGCCGAATATGTATCCAGGTGCCGAAGGTTCGAATTGGCCGAAGCTTTGTCTTTATCCGAAACCCAGGTCAAAATCTGGTTTCAGAATCGAAGGGCCAAGGATAAGAGGATCGAGAAGGCCCATATTGATCAACAGTACAGGTCAGTTAATAAAAGTTATATTTCAAATGTTTTTGGATGTAGTGAAATTTGTATTAGCATGTTTACATGATAGTTGTTAATATTGTTTACTTCGTTTGTTTCTATTAGTTTTCCTAATTACTCGTTTATTGTCTCTAATCACACTCTCTACAATATTTCGTTAAAACAAGATTAGATAGAGGCAAAGCGCAAAATGTCTAAATGGACATTATATACATTGTTTTAAATATGGAGCTTTTTGTGCTCGAAATCTAAAAAAATAACCTACGAGAAGTTAAAAATGTGAAGTAAAACTTCTAAAGCGACTTCCAACAAGGTTTTATTGAAACAAGATTAGATAGAGGTAAAGCGCCAAATGTCTGTGGACATCAACACATTTGTTAATTTCGTTTGTCTTTACTAATACAACTTATCTCTAATCACTCGTTTATTGTCTCTAATTATACTCTCTACAATATTTATTTCTATATATTCGAGCTATTCTAGAAATGTTCTTGATATTTTAAAAATGTTCTAGATATTTTAAACATGTTCTAGATGTTCTAAAAATGTTCTGCATGTTCTAAAAATGTGCTGAATATTCTAAAAATGTTTTGGATGTTCTAAAAATGTTTTGGATATTTTAAAAATGTTCTAGATATTTGAAAAAAGTTCTAGATATTCTCAAAATGTTCTAGATGTTCTACAAATGTTTTCGATATTTGAAAAATGTTCTAGATATTTCAAAAATGTTTTAGATCTAAAAATGTTCAAGATGAAAAATGTTTTAAATATTCTAAAAATTTACTGGGCTTTCTAAAATTGTTCTGGATGTTTTAAAAATGTTCTCAATGTTCTAATATTGTCTTGGGTGTTCTAAAAATGTTCTAGAGTTTCGAAAAATGTTTTGGCTGTTTGAAAAATGTTCTGGATGTTCTAAAACTGTTTGAGATGTTCTATTAATGTTCTAGATATTCTAAAAAGCTTCTAGATATTCTAAAAATATTTGAGATGGTCGTAAAATATTCTAGATATTCTAAAAATGTTTTGAACGTTTTAAAATCGTTCTAGATATTCTAAAAATGTTCTAGGTATTCTAAAAATGTTCTGGATGTTCGAAAAATATTCGAGATGTTTTAAAAATGTTCTAGATATTTTAGAAATGTTCTGGATGTTTGAAAAATGTTCTGGATGTTCTAAAACTGTTTGAGATGTTCTATTAATGTTCTAGATATTCTAAAAAGCTTCTAGTTATTCTAAAAAATTTGAGATGGTCGTAAAATATTCTAGATATTCTAAAAATGTTTTGAACGTTTTAAAATCGTTCTAGATATTCTAAAAATGTTCTAGGTATTCTAAAAATGCTCTGGAAGTTCTAAAAATGTTTTGGATGTTCTAAAAATGTTCTGGATATTCTAAAAATATTTGAGATGGTTGTAAAATGTTCTGGATAATTTAAAAATGTTCTAGGCATTCTAAAAATGTTATAGATATTCTAAAATTATTCTAGATATTCTAAAAATGTTCTAGATATTCTAAAAATGTTCTAGATATTCTAGAAATGTTGTAGATATTCTAAAAATGTTTTAGATGTTCTAAAAATGTTCTAGATGTTTTAAAACTGTTTTGAGATGGTCGTAAAATGTTCTAGATATTTGGAAAATGTTTTAGATGTTCGAAAAATGTTCTAGATGTTCTAAAAATGTTCTAGATATTTTCAAAATGTTCTAGATATTCTAAAATTGTTCTGGATTTTTGAAAAATGTTCTAGAAATTCTAAAAATGTTCTAGATGTTTTTAAAAATGTTCTAGATATTCTAAAAATGTTTTAGATATTTTTCAAATGTTCTATGCATTCTAAAAATGTTTTAGGCATTCTATTCCAAAAATGGTTTAGATATTATAAAAATGTTCTAGATATTCTAAAAATATTTGAGACGGTTGTAAAATGTTCTAGATAATTTGTAAATGTTCTAGATATTTCAAAAATGTTCTCAATATTCCAAAAATGTTGTAGGGGTTCTAAAATCGTTCTAAATATTCTAAAAATATTCTAGATATTTTAAAAAAGCTTGAGATTTTATAAAAATGTTCTAGATATTCTAAAAATGTTCTAGATATTCTGAATGTGTTCTATATGGCAGAAAAATATGGGAAAATATTTTGACTGAAAATATTTGAAATAGTCTGTGTGCTAGATAGTTTAGAAATATTTCTAAAAGTGTTCTTGGTATTCTAAAAACGTTCTGTATGTTCTAAAAATGTTCTAGATATTCTAAAAATATTTGAAATGGTTGTAAAATGTTCTAGATATTCAAAAAATGTTTTGAACGTTCTAAAAATGTTCTGGATGTTCTATTAATGTTCTGGATGTTCTATAAATGTTTTGAATGTTCTAAAAATGTCTCTGGTCTCTAAAATTGTTCTGGATATTCTAAAAATGTTCTGGATATTTTAAAAATGTTCTAGATATTCTAAAAACGTTCTAGGCTTTCTAGAATATTTGTAAAGTGTTCTAGATATTCAAAAAATCAGGTTCTGGATAGTCGGTAATTTTCTAGATTGTCGAAAAATATTTTGCATAAACGAAGTTATTTTAGATAGTCTGATCTAAAAATATTTTACATCATCTGAAAATATTCTAGATAGTTTGTAAATGTTCTAGATAATGTACAGATATTCTAGATATTTTAATAAAATTTTAGATAGTCTAAAAAAGTTTTAGATCGTGTTAAAATTTTCTGGATACTCTAAAAATAGTTTTTATTTTCTGAAAGTGTTCTAGATATTTGCGAAATATTCTAGATAGATTAATAATATTCTGGATAGTCGGAACATGTTCTATTTTGCTGTTCTTATTTTATTTGAAATTAAATAAGAATATTTTGATTAAGGGGGGCGATACATGTAACAAGAAAAAAAAAATCGATTTTTTTTCTTTCATAAATCGTTACAATAATCTCAAAAATATGCCTGTAAATATTCAAAACAAATTATCATTATTTATACAATAAAAACTCATTTAAGTGCCACGCCTCAACTCTTATCTGTTCTATGTGTCAAAACTTTAAACGCGTTTTTCTCGAAACGACATTTTTGAAATTTGCGGGCGGATAACTCAAAAAGTTCTCAACCGATTCCAATGAAATTTTGCACACATCTACTTTACAGTAATAGCTTCTAGTTAAACCTCAAACATTCCAAAAAATTTTCAAAAATTAACCCTTTTACCAAAAAAACCATTGAAAAAAAGGTGAAAAATCGAACTTTTTTTTTCTAAGGTGTGCCAATTTACGATTTTGTGACTTTTTTAATTTTTTTTTGGTTTAACTAGAAGATATATGTTTTATGAACACGTACAAACTAATTTTTTTAAATTCAGATCACCGTACGAAAAGTGAGAACGCCCGCAAATTGATGGCGTTTTCCGAGAGGGTCTTGCAGATTTATTTTTACGGCAGCCATTTAAAAAAAAAAATAAAAAATAATTTTTTTCGTGTATTTTAATATATAATAAATGACCCTAAAAAGTTCAAAAAGATTCAATCATTCCTTCCCAGTTTAAAAAGTCCTCAAAAAATGGTAAAAATTAAGGCGATTACATGTATCGCCCCCCTTAAGTACAAAAACAAAATATATTTAACAAGATAAGTCCAAGAGAGGTCTTATAACCAATCCTTGAGGCACACCCAAATCTAAATTTAATTTATACAAAGTAATTCTACAGTGTTTGTTAGTAAAAGAAAGGCCTTTTAATTATATTAGACAATTATAATTTAAATGTGAGAAAAGGAAATATGATATAGAATTATTTTACTAAATACTATTTACTCGTGTTTGAAATAATTGGATTATCATATATCGCATGTGTGTAGGAGGCTTTGTAATACCCTATTATGTGTGTTTAATACCCCATTTTAGCCCTTATGATATTAATTTGTCAATAAGCATGCGCCGTTCCGCCTTTCTATCATTATTGTTTTGGGAAACATATTTCATTGTGATATAATTGTGGGCGACAGATATGGCCAGAAATAGGTTTGTGGTCTCAAAAAATATAGGGTTAAATTAAATAATCAATTTCCTACTGAAAAGGTTTTTTGAAAAAAAAAACAAAATTTTAGAGACAGAGAGATAGATAGACAATGGAGATGTTTGGTATGAGTGAGGGAGATAGAAAGATTGGAACTTGTAGAAAAAGTTGGCTAAAATCGGGTTGTTTTTAGGTTTTTAGTTTTTACTAGATTTTTATGTTACCCATAAAGTATTTATGGAATATTTTTAGAATGCCTAGAACATTTTTGGAATATCTAAAACATTTTTAGAACATCTAGAACATTTTTAGAACATCTAGAAATCTCGAACATTTTTAAAACTTTCCAAACATTTTTCGAGAGCCTAAAACATTTTCAGAACATCTAGAACATTTTTTAAATATCTAGAACATTTTTAGAATATTTAGAACATTTTTAGAGCGTCTAGAATATTTTCAAAACATCCCGAACGAGTCTAGAACATTTTTATAATATCTACAACATTTTTTGAATATCTAGAACATTTTTAGAATATCTAAAACATTTTTAGAACACCTAGAACATTTTTAAAATATCTAGAAGATTTTTAGAACATCTAGAATATTTTTAATTTATCTGGATCATTTTAATAACATCTAGAACATTTTTAAAATATCTCAAACATTTTTTACACATCTAGAACATTTTTAGAATATCTAAAACATTTTTAAAATATCTAGAACATTTTTGTAATATCTATAATATTCTTATAACATTTTTATAAGAATTTTGGAATATTTAGAACATCTAGAACATTTTTAGAATATCTAGAACATTTTCAGAACATCTAGAACACTTTTTGAACATATAGAATATTTTTAGAATATCGAAAACATTTTTATAATATCTAGAACATTTTTATATAATATATAGAACATTTTTGGAACATCTAGAACATTTTTAGAACATCTAGAACATTTAGAACATTTTTAAAA